GTTTCTTGGATGGTGGAGTTGGACTTTATAACATGGGAGCCAAGAAATGGGATTTTCTTAGGGACTTGGTATGTCTGTGATTGTCCCTTCTTCTATATACATTTATTTTGTGTGTAAAATGACGCTTACTTTTACTTACATGTTAATATTGTTCTAAGATTACTTTTGTACAGAATCATATATGAGGACTTTATCTTGGTTGGCTGAAACATTTTAGAAAAGTGTTTAGAATGATGGCAAAACTATTAAAATTATTTAAAATATGAACATTGAACTTCTTTAAATACTAATGTCTGTTCTCCACAGTGGCTGCAGCAAACTGCATTCCCACCCACAGTGTAGGAGGGTTCCCTTTTCACAAGTTCTTAACATTGGAAATGACCTGTAACAACCAGCCCAGTGAACCCGAGACTGTGCCAACCTTTCTTTCCTCTTCTAGTCCTTGGTATTTTTCTCTCTTTTCTCTTTCACCAAAAATAAGTAAATAAATAAATAAGACTAGCAGCACATCTGCAGTTTTCTAAGGGAGGTGGATTCTGGTATTAATGGAAATGTGTTGAGATTAAAGGGCTCCCTCTGTGTCTTTACTTGAGTTGTTGGGGAACAGAAGCCCGATGCTGCACTTCTGTACCCAGTCCCAGCGTGTTACGATTTCTGCTGCTTGGAGGAGGAGTTTCAGGTCCCATCCCGGACGTTTGGGAGAAGGCAGATTGTAACTCTGGTTACTTACCTTAGATTCTTAATAGATTTTCCTTTAAGTGCATAGTAGTTAAGCTCTACTTTACAAGTGTATGTTTACATATATCTGTATATAGACCACTTTAGAGTCTTTGGGGATGTTTGGGATCCAAATCACCGTATAACAGGAACAAATATTCTGAGTTCCAAAGAATAAATTTGCTAGAAAATTTTAGAACAAGTTTCATTAAAAATTGAGGACATGCTGGATTCTTCTTGTTTCTGCCAAAATTGTAAAGCTTTTTTGGAGTTCATCATTGGTATAAAAAAAGGAATATTTGCATTAAAGAAACTTTAGCTTCAGTTTTATCTTGGTCTTTTATTATACTACCGTAATGACATCATAATTGTTAATGGTTAATTGCTTTATAAATTTCTAGCATAGTATCCTGTGTATGATAATCAGAAAAGATATTATATTGAGGTTGAAAAATGAGACTTTTGAGCATCTTTGTTATTTAAAATGTTGCTGATTTGAGGAACTACGGTTGAATAAAATCTAGGTCTGTGCAAAATATCACAGTAATAACAGCGCAGAGAACAACCACAGTGGTAAATCCAGTTGTGTGTGTTTGCTCGCCTAAATGTTTTGGCACTAATATTTGGAAAAACGTATTACATGTGTCAACTTGATTACGTTACTGCGTGCTTACTGATAACGTGAACTCTCCTCAGTAGTTGTGACGTTTTCCTCTGCGTGCCCAGGGTCACGTGGAAACCATCTTTGACTGCAAATTCAAACCTGACGACCCCAATCTTTTAGCCACAGCTTCGTTTGATGGCACCATAAAAGTCTGGGATATCAGCACACTGACGGCCGTGCACACTTCCCCTGGTAATGAAGGGGTCATTTATTCCCTCTCATGGGCCCCAGGTAAGAAGTATTTGATTAAAACCAGGACTACAGTGAAATTGTATTCTCATTTGAACTGTCTTCTTCCTCTCAGTACCATCTTGCTCCAAATGATTGCGGAAGCAAATTGGCACCAGCATATTTGTTGGTGCGGTTTTTGTGGGGTTTTCAAGAGGCTGCCTGCAAGGGCACTTTGACTTCTGGGCCCTTCATGTGACGTAGTCATACAGAAAAGCCACAGTAGATACGGACCTATCTAATGTGAGCTGCTTTTGTATAACCGTGCCTTTAAAGGTGTAACACATTTTACATGGTAGAAGTTTTCCCTAAAATTTTCATGTGAACCAAATATAGGAAAATAAAATATTCATTTTTCTAAAAATTATCATATGTATCTTTCTCTGATACATCTGTTTTGTAAAGATGAATGATTATGTATCATCCAGTTTAGTTGTGAGTCTATAGTTCTCTATATATTCTACTTTTGTATACTGAAGAGTTTCTGTGCTGTCATAGGTCTTTTCTTTGATCTCAGAACGATGCTACTTTCATACTTTCCCATACATAAAAGAAGAGATGTCCTATGAAACCTCTGACATTTTCTCCCCAAATATTATTTTCCTACAATAAATAATTTTACACACCTAAAATGAACTTTTCACTTAATAAAATATGCAGAATGCTTTACTTATTTGTCTTAATAACAACATATTAATTTAAAACCCACATATAGTCATGATGTAGCTTACTTTTCAGCTTATCTCCTCACGCACAGGGATGTTTAGCCTTGAATTTATGAGCTGGAAGGGTGTTAAATGTCTCCAGAGAATGTGAGAATTTGTTGGACTTTTATGTGTAATTTTTAGTGTATGTATGCACATTTCTGTGTCAATAGAAGATTATCATAGCAATCAGATTTTCAGAGACATCCATGATACAAAAAAGGTAAAGAACCACAGTTCTATATAGCCTTCATCTCCAGCCATGAGGAGAAGACCTAGAAGGAGGTTTGACTTCCAAGTCTTAATGACAGTATCTGTCCCCTTAAGCAGAACATATGTACTGCCACTGTAGATACAGGACTAACTGAAAATAAATTACTTCAGTAATAAAGAAAGAACAAAAAGAACTAATTGATTCTCTTGTCTGCTCCCTTCTTCACCACCATCTTTATTTTACTTTGGATTGTGATAGCCAACATTTATTAACGGTCTGAGGTCAGAGATGTTCAGAAAATACACTGTTGAAAATAATTACATCTATGGCGAATATTTCATATAGTTTCTAACAAATTGTTTCCTAAGGTGATTTAAATTGTATTGCTGGAGCAACTTCCCGAAATGGTGCTTTTATTTGGGATATTAAAAAGGGCAAAATGGCACAACGATTTAACGAGGTAAGACGTGTCTGTGGCTAGCAGAATAACATAATGTCTTATTTGGCTTCTTGTTTTTCAGAACACTTTTCTCTCTTAATTTGGTACTTAGTCACTAAGGGGCATTATGTTCTCTTAAACAGAAGAAAATCCAAGAGGACGTGCACGTGCTAAAATGAATTCCGAAACATGTGGCTGAGTCTAAGATATAAAAATTCAACAAAAACTGTGTTAGAGATTCGAAGGAATTTTGAGTCATCTTCCATGTAATTGTCTAGGCAAATATTCAGTAGTTGGGAAAAGATTAAACCCAGAGCAAGTCCCAAATTACTGTCCCAGTTTTGTTACTGATTAGCTCTTGACATAAAATCCTTTTATGGCCTTGATAGTTCATCTAGAAGCTGCTGAAGTTGGATTATATGATCTCTTAGGTTTCCTTCCGGTTCTCAAACTCCATTAAGTCCTAAAAACGCCCTCTTCCTATTTGTAGTGTCACGAACTGTACTTTTCCTTCTGCTGGGAGTTAAACTGTCATCTCATAATTTACTGAGTTCTGTGAATACTTGGAAAATACCTATGATATCGTTATAGTACGTTGGCTATGGACGGAGGGAAATATAAATGAGATGTAGGGTTGTCTCTCACTCTCTTGAAATTTCATTCATTTTAAGTGATGACTGTTGAAGTTTATAAAATATATTCCTTGTTTGAAAATTGTTTATGTATTTGAGGTTTTAAAACCATGTATACAAAAGACTGCTCTCTCTGAAAATCAAGCAGCCTTGGTCTTTCGGGGGTTATGTGAAGTAATGTGACAAATAGGGCAGCAGGGACACACGTCACCAACCACCGGTGAGCAGGTCGCTCTCAAAGGAAGAAACTTTGACAAAGGACTGTATCATTAACATCCTTCCCTTTCTCTGCACAACAACAGTGATCTTTCAGTTCATCCGTGCCCCAGCCTGCCCTCTGCCCTCCCCATCACCAGAACAACACTGATCCCATAGTAAACAGGGATGTGAGAAGAAAAGATGAACCTGAAAAAGAAACTTTTGACCCAATTCAAAAATATTACACTTGGATGTCAGATCTGTTGATTTCTTCTTATAGCGTCTTGGCCTCTTGTGAAGTGAATAATCTTCCCATTAGCACCAGAACAGTTCCAATTCCAGCGACCCAGCCTCCAGCGTCAGGGGCATCTCTGATGTCCATTCATGTCTTTCCCAGCATCCAACAGGATAGTTAAGACCAGTATCAACATTGCTTAAATCTAGGATAATAAATATGGGAAAAATTAACAGTGCCAGCTTCAATTAACTAAGTTACATACACCTCACAACATAAAATGTGGAATATTAGGGGGCCATGGGTTCATGAGGATGACCACAGCTGATGGGAGGCTCTGTGCCTTCAGCCAAATGGGTCTAGAGACCTCCTCCATTCTTGTGTCCATCTTTATAAACCCACCCACCTTGACCCCCAAAAGGTAAGAATAGCAAACTAGAGACCACCTTAGTAAAACAGCCTTGAAGTGCTGGATAAAAGGTCACTTTTGTCTTCCTTTAATGGCAGCCACAGTTTAAGTAGTACGCAAAATTGAAATATTTTAAGTAAAATTTGAAAATGGATTGATTGCAACCTTAATTCACCCATGACCCAGTTGATGAGTGGCATTCTTCTGTATAAAATGTATTCCTAGTGTTTTCAAAAATTCTCAGCTGTGTCCCCCTGTCCTTCCCAAGTCAAAGAATACAGATAAGTACAGAGAACGGGTAAATACAGTAATAGTCTTAATTCTGTTCTCCTTTGTTTTAGAAAGGTAAGACTTTGAAATTCAGAAGAACAATCAGTAATAACAGTTGTTTGCAGCGTTTCTTTTCCTGTAGTTCTAGTGGCAGTGGGTTAGAAAGCAGATGCGTAACCACCTTGGTCTCCAGACGGGCTTTTACAGAAAACGGCATTACGCCAAGCTTAATTCTACAGACGACTGAGGATGCGGGATCTGTGCTTTATCAGTGTCCACACAGAAGGAAGTAGAGCCACCCAAGTTGTGTCTTAAAACGATGGTTTTTGTTTCTTAAGTATGATAGCTTTAAACATTCTTAAAATACATATTCAGCCTTCTGCTTGTTGACAGTAATGTCTCTGTTAGCAGCATTGAGAGCAAATTCCTAACAGAAAAGTAGTATTACAAGAAGTAAATAACTAAGAGAAAAAAAGGGGTGAATTATTTCTTATTGATAGGTATTTTGCATTTTTTGAAGCATGGAAAAAGTGGAATATTCTGCATTGCCTGGAGTCATAAAGATTCCAAAAGAATAGCAACCTGCAGTGGCGATGGCTACTGGTAAGTACTGTCTATGAAATCACACTGTTTGCAGAAGATACATTTGAATCATGTTAGTACATACGTTACACTGTTCAGTGAGATTACATTGGTGCAGGTCTACCAACTCTCACAAGTGTTATTCATAAACCCATATAGGCACGTGTGATATTGCTGTATCAGTAATAAGTAACAACAGAATGATGTTTAAAAGTAAGTAAAGAAACTACCAATTGCTTTCTAAATGAGAATAATACCCCAACTGTAACTAAAATACTGTGAAACTTGCCCCAAAGAAACTTCAAGGACTTTTCACAGAGTCTAATTCTCACCCCATTTTTCAGGGAGTGGCCGAGGCTTAACTCTTATTTTTTCGAAGCTCCTTAACACACTTTACGCCGGATTTCTGTTAATTCGGATTAATCGTATGACCGTGGCTGGCATGAAATTTACCAACCCTGAATAATATAGTTTAGTCAAACTTCCATTTATGACTTAATTTTTGTCACATTTCAGTTTTCCAAGTGATTCAGGAGATATCCCGTGCTCTAGAAACTTGTTCCCAGTAGCTGTTATTATTTAGAAAAGGATAAAGAGGCTTTGCAGGGGGGAATGAGGTAATGCCTGTGGGAAAGGCCTTTTTTTAGATGCTAACTTCTCTGACCTTGTGTTTCAGCAAGATTTGCTATCTTAAATTCTATTGAGTCCCCAGAAAAAGTAGGTTTCCAAGAAATATATGAAAGGGAAGGATTGCCTTTGAGTTTAAAAAAAAGGAAGTTTTCAGTCAGGTAGTGCCACCCGTTAGCTGTAGCACAGTCGTCTTTGCCAGTGGTACAGGCACTCAGGGTTGTTGAGAAACAGTCAAGTGTTTCCTCTTAGGTTTTGCCACAGCCCACCCAGTTTTCTCATCCCGACTTTTTAATTTCAGTGGAAAAGACAGGAGTTGTGGCAATCAAAGATCTTTACAAGGAAGTTAAAACTTCCAGAAACAACAATATTGGTAGTTTTTGCACTTGAAAATTACTGTTTGCTAATTGATACTTACCAAAATACAGAAGATGCGCCAGGAGTTTCTGGACTAGGTGATACGTCATTAGCTCTACCATGTATTTTCAGGGCACTACTTGTTTGATAAATACCATGGTGTTTGACTAAACATTTGGAAGCGTGGGTCACCAGCACTCCTTAGTAACCTCAAAACTTTTGATGGGCCCCATGATGTTTTAAAAGGGTCTTTTTCAGAGACTTTTAAAACTTTGTGCTACATTAAAATGCACACAGCTTTTTGTTACGAACAGAATCAATAGCCCTTGCATTATATAGAAGGATATATAGAGCTTCCTTTTTTTTTTTTGCAGCGAAAGTATATGGGATTCGTTTTGAGAGAAGAGGTCCTCCGAATTTCTAGTTATATCACTTAGAAAAGGCCATGAGAAAGGTTACAACTTAGATATCTTGGACTTGGTGTAGTAATACATGCAGCCAGCACTATAAATGAGTGGTTTTAAACGTAATTTTGAACTGTTAAATTTTGAAGCTGAAAATCTAATGCACATGTTACTTATATCATTGTGTTTTAAAATATATGTATTAAACTGTTTTTCCTCAATTAAAATATTTTATAAGAAATAGTTTCTACATAGAAATTATCACCTTTAAATTGGTTTAAGTGGATTACTGTAATTAATACTACGCGGTATAAATACAGTTACTCATAATGGGCACTGTCATTAACAGAGTACTTCAGATGTTCCCTGTGCTTTGCAGACGAGGTCTCTGTCCTAAAACACTTCTGTTTGAATTATACAGTTCTGGCTTTCTTCCCTTGAATACTCTATTTAGAATGCTGTAATTTTCTATGAACATATTCTACTTAATTTCAGTATTATTCGAACAGTGGATGGTAAAGTCCTGCACAAATACAGACATCCAGCTGCAGTGTTTGGTTGTGATTGGAGCCAGAACAACAAGTAAGTACTTTTTTCCTGAAATAAGTAGTAATTACATTTCAGAGACTTTGAGTCATCATAAAGTTTAATGTTATTCCCATAGGAAGTATTCATCACTCTTTTAAGGAAATATTCCCCTTGCCTAGTCTTGTAATTGCATGTTTATTTTAACTGTTTTTATTCCATGAGGTTTTTATGTGATTTAGAAATACCGATTTCCTACTTTCAAACAACTTTCTGCTGCTTTAGGGAAAAACATACAGCTAACAACAAGTGGAAATCAGTGCAGTCTGTGTGTGGCTTCTACCAGGGAAACATGGCCCTTTGTCTAGAACCTTTTCGGCATCTATACAACGTAGGCAATGGCACTGTTCCCCATGGCTTTCCATTGCCCTCCACCTAATGCTCATGCCTTTGCACTGGGTGATTTCCCGAGATGTGGAACTTAGAATGGTTTTGAAAGGTCAGCCTTGCTTAAGAGCCTGGTATTTACCATGTAAAGATCAGCTTAGATTTAAAAATTAATCCCAGTCAAACCTCCAGTAAAATTAATCCTTTAAGTCACTGCGCTTCAAAGAATCTTGTGTTTCAAACTTCTCTCTGATGGGATATAAATTATATTTAAAAATTCAAACTTTCTCTAGATATTGTGAAAACAATATGAATTATCATATACTTTTTCATCTTATAGGTGTAAAATATGCATGTTAAAGTAGCAAAACCTTATTTCAGGTTGTTCTGAGTCGAATCAAATATTATACAAAATGATGAGTCTATGTATTTGTTCTAAGAAAAACAGAAGAATTCACAACACACTGTTAGAGGTTCTGTGCTAACTGAGCTCACGACCTGGTCCTCCGCAGTCTTTCCCACCTCAGTGGCCTGAAAATGCAGACAAGCCAGAGCCCTTGGCCTCTTCTCTTAGACCTTATCATCTCTGGATTTTCATTTCCCATCAGCCGTCAATTCCTGTCGTATCCTCCTTCTAAATGTTCTTCTTTTTCCAACTATCCCCCCAGCCACTAAGCCAGTGATGCTTGTTTGATTCTGGGCTTCTGCAAACACTTTTTTTTTAACATTTTTTATTGATTTATAATCATTTTACAATGTTGTGTCAAATTCCAGTGTTCAGCACAATTTTTCAGTCATTCATGGACATATACACACTCATTGTCACATTTTTTTCTCTGTGATTTATCATAACATTTTGTGTAGATTTCCCTGTGCTATACAGTGTAATCTTGTTTATCTATTAATCAGTTCCAGAATTCACACGTTTTATCCCCGGCCACTTCCTCTGTGTTCTCTAGGTTGCAGTCAGCGTGAGCGTTTAAAAATGCGGGTGTGAGCACAGCATTCTACTGCTTACATCCTTCAAAGGTGTCCCGCTGACTGTAGGATAAGGTGCAGGATCTCAGCCAGCCCCACGAGGGCGGCCCCGCATGGCCCGTCTCCTCTGCACTTCAGTCCAGGCCTTGGTCCTCTTGTTCCCTGGACCCAGCCACGCTGGCCCTCAGCTTCTGTAACCAGCCAGTTCATTTTCACCCCAAGGCTTTCACTCATGTTACCTCTTTTATCTAGGATTCTGCCCCCCAGCCCACCCCACACAACCACCTGGGCTGGCGGGAGATAGCCTGTCCCCGTCCTCAGCTCTCTGCTCCAAAACCACTTCTGCTTTAGAACAGTCTTCCCCGACCCTCACAATGGGTGAATTTCCCCTGTAGTGCAGTATGTCTTACCGCCATAAAATTAAGTTTTAGTTGTGAATTGGCTGCCTTACCCTCCAAAGTACAAGCCCCATGAGACCAGCAACTGTTACCTATTTTTAGCAAAACATTGTGCTGCTAACCCTCTGCCTTAAAAAAAAGTAGATGTTTCATAAATATTTGTTGAATATACAAATGGATAGAATTACCTGTATCTGATCAACAGAACAGTTCCACATTCTTATTTCTCTGGTTAATAAGAGTCTGGTTAATAAAAATTTGACCAGTTGAAAAAAAATTAGGTATTAATGCAATATGTTTTGTTGGTTAAGAAAGCTTTTTTTTAAAAAAAAAATCCTTTATACTGAACGATTATGTTTACTACAAAACCTACCTAATAAATTTCATTTTTCATTTCAAAATTTCATTTTTATTTTAAAAGATCTTTTCTAAATGTTCTAATTGTTGTATTTATATTCCACTTAGCATCTTAGGAGATAAGTGAAAAACACCTTGAATCTTATTCATATTTCTGAATTTATAATTTGGATGTGTGTATGCACATTCTATGAATGTTTTATTTTTCATTTCTGAGATTTTATGTTTATGCATCTGCATATAGACACATACAAAAATATACTTGTGTATACATGTAAATATTTCTATTATGCAAAATATATTTTCCCATCAGTGGGCCTTGGGCACACATAATCTACACATTTGCAGATCCACATGCCAGCTTTCAAACTGGTGTATTTCTGCATGTAGGCCTAAATAAATATAGATATCATAGCCTATGTGACAAAAATCAACAATTTGAAGTTTGGGGAAGGTTTTGATGACCATTGAGTCCAAAACGTGTAGCTTCCCCTCTTTGCCTTTAGAGCATGGAGACTGTTTATGTGATTGTTACTGTTCCTCAGGGAGACTGTTCTGGCAGGTACATGACTCCACGGGCCTGCCTGGTTCTCTAATTCCATTGGAACAATATTCCAAGCGTGACCACTAGGGCACAAAATAAGAGCTTAGCTTATTTCACTCCCTTGAGAATGATGAGCCACTATCATTAAAAGATCCGGCCCACCTGTTATATTTCTAGAGGATTCTGTTCAATCAGTTAAGCATCTCAAGTTGGAGAAGCCATCAGAGAGAATTGGAAAACCAGGACTGTGACTTACTGTCAGATGACACAATGCTGATCAGTGAGGAGCTTCTCCAGCACACGTCCAGGGGAAACATTGCTGTTTGTACCCGAAGCACAAAAAAATTTACCAATGGTCAGGGCATGTAGTAGTTAATAACTTCTTACTAACAATTAAGCACATCTTAATCACTCACCATTAGGGACCCTTCTTAAGACCCAATGGTTGCAACATATAAAGGTGTGAGAAAAATTCAAGTTATGAACCTGGGCATTTTGAAAAAGAACTTACAGAAATGTACCATTGTCCCTGGTCTAAGGTAAATAAAATAAAAATCCAACTGATCAAAAGGTAAACTTTTAATTGAGACACTCTGTGCTAGAGCAGTTTCTGTAAGAGATGTTCTTACTTAGGTAAAATTTTAGTCTAACTTCATTAAGGAAGCAAAAAATTCTAGTTTTAGAAATTAGAACTGTGTACTTTTAAAAACTATCAATAATAACACTGTAAATCTACTACACATCAATAAAAATAAATACATAAAAACTACCAGTAACAAATACCAGGGTTTTTTATTTTTTAATGTGCTTTTGATGATATTTCAGAGACATGATAGCCACTGGCTGTGAAGACAGAAATGTTCGCGTCTATTACGTGGCCACCAGCTCCGACCAGCCGCTGAAAGTGTTCAGTGGGCATACAGAGAAAGTGTTCCACGTTAAGTGGTCTCCTCTGAGGGAGGGAATCCTCTGCAGTGGTTCTGATGATGGGTATGTAGTTTTAGATTCTAAATTTCTAATCCTTAAAAATCATAAGTTTGTACTTTTCTAGAGCGTATTTATAAGCTCCAACTTGTATGTGGAAATATCTTAAATGTGTGCTTAACCAGTAGGCAGTTAACAAGCATCTAATTGCATTTAACTAAAGGTAAGTTAAGTTTTCCCGTACTTAGATTATCATCATATTTGTGATTTCTGTTTCCTTATTTTCTTGCCATACATGCTAATTTCTATCTTATTAGGAACAAAGTTAACAGAAAGGAAAATTGTGAAGGGATCTGTTAGGAAAAGGAAAAAGGCCTGAAACAATAAATCTCTGTAAAATGCAGAGAAGAGTTTGTTTTTTAATGAAGTTCTCATAGTTAACATGGAAAAGAGCTGTACCCTGTTTTCATTAAGAACGGAATAATAGAAGATGATCATTTATGTTAGCATGAAGAGAAGGTATTTTAGAAATGTGAGTGATTTAACATTTCTTTTCTGGGTTTGTGAAAGTTTCTGAAAGCTTGTTTATATTTTATATCCAGACAAGATAGAATTGCATAGCATAATTTGGGCTATTTGAATATGAGATAAATCTAGGTAAGAAAAATCTCACTTTGTGCAAGTAAAAGTTGTGGTATATAGTGACCACATTGTCCTAGCTGAGTATAAGGGGAAAAAAGAAGAAAGAAGTCTTTTTGTATAAAACAGAAAAAGAGATTATCCCTTAAAGAAATAAAAATATGTGATGCATCTCCTGTGAGTGTAATACAACCTTTGAAGTATTAATATTTTGGTATTTGGGGGTTGATGTAAGTCTGTGACTTAAAGATTATTATGAATTGTCCAAGTGGAGTTGGCATTTGCAGGTCTTAAATTGATTTTGAGTTCAAATTTTACTTCAGTAACATTCATACTTCATACAATCAGTAGATTCAAGTAATATGAATCCAGTTATATTTAAATCTTGTTCTTGATCTGAGAGTGATTCCACACTAAGCAACCTATTTTACTGACAAAAACATGAAGTGTTCTCTGTGTTGATAAAAGCAAAGATATGAATTGATTTTTCAAATAATAGTCATCAACAGACATGCTGTATTTTCATGATTTGCATATAATTTGAGTGCTTTTAAATTATTGTATCCCTGTTATTAGTCATTTTTTTCTTTGGTTTTATCTGTTCTGGACATTTCATTTTAAGAAAGCAATTTTTTAAACATATAAACTGCAAAGTAATGTATTTAGTATCAGTAGTAAATGGCCAGTTAGAGTAAAGAAAAAAATGTATTAGAATAGGCTGGCTCTGGCCTAGTTAATTACTCATTTTTATTTTCTATAAAGAAGAGAATCATAATGTATCTTGAAACATAAATTGCTTTTTCAATACAATAAGAAATAATCATTGTCCTCCATTAAGAATATGCTAGTACTTCAGATAAATCAACTTGAATATCATTGTACACATAATGTTCTGTTTTCAGTTCTGTTCGAGTCTGGGATTATACTCAAGATGCTTGTGTAAATATTCTTAGTGGACACACCGCGCCGGTGAGGGGGTTAATGTGGAATACTGAGGTTCCGTATCTACTCGTCTCCGGCAGCTGGGACTACACTATAAAAGTATGGGACACTCGAGAAGGAACTTGTGTGGATACTGTGTACGATCATGGTGCAGATGTATATGGTAAAGCGTTTTTCATGTACTTTTAAATTTTGCTGTATTGATATAATTTCTGAGCAATACAGTGTTTTTCAAAGAAGTCTTAACGGTGTTTGATTTTAAAATGACATTTTTCTTATTGGAAAGTATATAAGCTTATTACTTAAATATCAGAATACACAGAATATAATAGAAAATGCCATCAGAAATTATCAGAAGATAACTATGGTTAGCATTGTGGTGTCCATCTATCCCTGCAG